GTAATGTGATTATGGCGGTGTTATGATACGTATCAGTTGACATCAAGGATTGTAGGTACATTATCTTGTTTGGCAGAGAGCGACAGTTTGTGTTCATTATGACGGGGACCGTAGTTAAGTGTATTGGTGTACGTTTGAGAGCTCTCTGCCAACCACTACGATGTTTCCTCCTTGGTTTCTTTGGAATATGAAAGTCATTTGGTCGTAAATGATTAATAAAGTTACGAGAGTAAATGATTCTGTTTGAATTCATATTTAGGTGATAAATGTATGTTAGTAAACAGTAAACTGGATGCAAAATGTAGATATTTTGGTAGCAGGCCCAAAATTTCGAACAGGCCACCAAGGTCAAGGTCTTGGAATACTCATGTGTATGAATGATGCAAAAAGTTGTGTGACTGACTCGATATGATTATGAGCAATCATTTGTGCTGGAAACACCATCAGATAATATTGCTGTGCTACACTGTGTGATACATAAAAATAAAATCGTATCAATAATGGAGTTATACTCTACCACAGTGCCCAAGTTTTATACTTATATCAAAAATACTTATCTTATGCATTATGTGTCTCCTAATTGTTTCATTTTTGTCTTCCTCATTGCAGGTTGTCAGTCTTCGTAGACATTCTACTAGATGTCGTCATACATAGTGTCTGCAAGTAGTCTTTCAATTCATCTACCTCCCCCAAATTTGTTGCTACGATGCCTTTAGATTATTTACATTTGGCCGTAATACAATTAGTATGCTAATATTACTGATGTAATGACATGCAAGACATCTACATTTTACTGTGAAGTTTGCCTGTAATAACATTCCCTCCATAGTAAATAGAATGCTTGTGATAACAATTCGTCATTATCTTTTCATTGCGTTGATAGGTGCGTATATATTACAAAAAAGCTAACTTTGTCGTATTAGTTCTCTAAATTACAATCACTAAGTGCCCATACCTCTGCTAAATACCAAGTGCTACTCGTGGCCCATGAACTACTTATTACTGCATTCGCAAATAACTATCAAACTATTATTACATGGAGTAGTGAGACAGAAGGCGTATGAAATTTAGATATTAATGTGTATCTGAAGTTGATGACACAGTGTGTATGTACATGTTTCATTTCCAAACAAGAGAATTTTATAGGGCAATGTGGGGCCGAGCGTAGTGAGTTAATAGTGCATTCTTTACTGTATACATCTTGTATGAGTGAAATGCTTCTATTCAATTTTTTGGCGAAGCTGCAATATCACCCTGCAGGGTTTCTTCAATGCACTCATAGGGAATGATACTTGGTGCTGAGGAATCCAGCCAAAAGCATCTGTGATACAGTCGAATGACTTTTCAACTAAAAGCGGTTATACTGATATTAAGTGTGATTTACCTGTAAAGTGAGGGACTCTAGTGTAACACAGCGCCATATCCGAGAAGGGTATTCTTTGTGTTTTACAGGTACAAGTAGAATTAATGGACTGAGCATTTGTTAAATATGGAGGCGACCCATTGAGTCACTTGGACGAAAGGCTGACGAAATGAGATACCTTACACACGCACCTTCAGATGTAGGCATGTGTCACTTCACATGGACTCTGGGCCATATCGAGTAGGCATTCCTTTAAATCTACCCTACCTTGTACGCTCAATTATCGTTCGAATATATGTAATGACTTGGTGAGTTTCCTAGTTTGCCTATAATTACGGAATGTACATTATATTAAGGAACACAAATAGATTTTGTGCACCAGTGGTGTTGCTTCTCCAGTCTCAACTGATGTCCCATTGATTGATAGGATTATAGAAGTAGATTGTAACGTGGTGTTTGATGTAGCTGCGAAACGTAGTTACCTGGTTTCAAACTGACATCATGCGTCCAGTCCTATTAACCCATGGATATAGTTCTTCCTTCACGATATCTAGAAGTCAGGAGCAGACTGTCTTTGACAGATGTAGTTTTACTTCGTGACTAATTGGTGAGTCACCTGGTGTTGTGGTGGTAGAAAAAACAACTCCAAACCTAAGTATTTTCTAGATACAAACGTATTTAATTACTTTGGCGATAGTTTAATCTTTGTATCCAGGATCCCTTAGAGATATTAACCTTTACTTAGTAATTTGGATCCGAAAGTAAACGCCATGTTACTAAGTTATTCAAAAGACAGAATGATGAGTGAAATAGAACTCGTACACTTATTCCAAAGAAACGGAATAATGATAACCGTTTAGCCTACCAATATGCCGTTTACTTTCAGTCTTAATTCCAATACATATTTAGTTACTCATATATCAAGAGAAGAACACATAAGAGTGATGCTATCCCACCTCTTATGCTTGAAGATGACCAGACAAACATGGCTGAGGATAACTTGACCAAGGCTGAGGCTTTGTCCAAGTACTTTAGTCAAGTATTCTCTGATAATATTGATACCAGCTTTGTAAATTTTCCAGAAGGTAACTTGAAAACGGCACCCTTATACATTGGAAAGGATACTGTCCTAAAGTGGCTTCTAAGGCTCAATCCTGGTAAGTCCAGTGGCCCTGATGAACTCCACCCACGTATATTAACAGCATTGGCTGAAAGCATAGCCGAGCCATTGTCGGTAATCTTCAATATGTCTCTGGACCAGTCTAAATGTCCAAGAGACTGGAAAGATGCCATCATTAGTCCGGTCTTCAAAACCGGATCTAGAAACTTAGTTCAGAACTATCGTCCTGTTAGTTTGACCAGTATTGTTGTTAAACTACTAGAAAGAATAATTCGTGATGCTATCATTCAGTTCATTGAAGGGAACAAACTTTTCGCTGTGGAACAGCACGGTTTTAGAGCAGGTCATTCTTGCTTGACCAACCTTCTTTTGGCCAGAGAAAGTTGGGCAAGCTCAGCTGATGCTAATATACCGGTGGATGCCATATTCATAGACCTTAGCAAGGCGTTTGACAGGGTTTCTCATTCAGGTCTTCTAGTAAAGTTAGGTAGTCTGGGAATCAATAAAGTGGTTACCGACTGGATTCAAGACTTTCTAAAGGACAGAAGACAAAGAGTACGAGTTAACGGGGTTTTATCAACATGGGAATCGGTTAAGAGTGGCGTTCCTCAGGGTACAATTCTAGGCCCACTTCTTTTCCTGATTTATGTTAATGAGATTCCATCGGTAGTTAAGTCATCCTGCTTACTGTTTGCTGATGACATCAAGATATGGAGGGCTTTGCACGATGACAGTGATCAACTTGCTTTGCAGGAAGATTTAAACTTGTTAAGTGATTGGTGTAAGCGCTGGGCCTTGGAGATTAACTTAAGCAAGAGTGTAGTTATGCATGTATCCCATAGTCACGTGCACAATTACTCAATGAATGGCATTACTCTCCCAGTGGTCACTGAGTACAAGGACTTGGGAGTGGTTGTGCAGCATGACTTGAAAACAGCAACAAACTGTAGAACTGCAGCCACTAAGGGTTTTAGAATGTTATGGGCCATACGCAAGGCTTTTGCGAACTTTGACGCTGATATATTTCGTATATTATATCCGACTTATATCAGACCTCATTTGGAATATGGGATCCAGGCAGCGAGCCCGTGTTTCAAATACGAAATTGACTTATTAGAAAGGGTGCAAAGAGTAGGAACTAAGCTAATAAAGGGTTTCTCAACCCTGTCATATGAGGAGAGGTTAAGTCGACTGGGTTTATTTCCACTGTCATACAGACGACTTAGGGGTGACCTAATACTAGCATACCGTATCCTAAGAAATGATTTTGGAGCTAATTTATCTAAATTATTTCTTCCTTCTAGCACCAACCAATTGCGAGGACATCACCTCAAGGTTCAAAAACCACGGTCGAATCGTCTGCGTCTGGAAATCCGTTTTTCGCATCGAATTGTGAACCATTGGAACTCCCTACCGGAACATGTCGTATCAGCGCCATCCGTTGATTCATTCAAGGCGAGATTGGACATCCTGTATGAAATAAATCGAAAGGATTAACACAGGCATATAGCCTACTATCCTAAATAAATTGTAAACTGTAAACTGTAAATTAATAGTTTCAGAAGACTGGTCTACTCCTGTATTTGAAATACTTTGCCTAATCGTGTTTTACTTCGGAATATGTGTATACTGGCCAGTTGATGTTGCTTATCCAGTTATGCTGTTTTTCAGTTACAATGTCTCGCTTATTTCCTATCAAACAATAATAATAATAATGTATATTCTCATATAAACATATAAATTTAC